CAGCCCCGGGGAGTGCTGGGGGAAGGGGGGAACCGGGGGGGACCCCAGGGCAGGAGCAGGGGACAGCAGGGATGAGGCACCACGGGGCTGGGCAGCAGAGCCAGGTACTGTCTCATCTTGGGGCCAGGAAACGCTGAGGTTCCTTCCTAAAGCCAAGCCCAGGTTGGGTTTTTGGGTCAGGCATGGTGAAGGAGAAGGCAAAGATGTGCAGGAAGGCCTGGGAAGGGCGTGAGGAAGAGGAGGAAAGTGGTGAAGGCAACGCACAGGCCAGGTCCCATCGTCGTGTGGAAGCAGCCTTCCACTGCCGGACACGTGAAAACATCTTCATTGAGCAGAGAGCACGGCAGGAGCTGCGGCTCTACTAATTTGTGAGTGCCCAGCCTGCCACCCCTTCCTGCCTGCAGCATCTTCCTCCCCATGGGGGCATGCCCCTGGCACAAGGGCTCATTCTCTAACCCAAGCCTTTCCCCATCCCCAGCCAGAGAGGGAGGGGATGTTCCACCGTGGCTCAGGGCTGAACCTGACCAGCGGGCAGTACACAGCCCCTGTTGCGGGGTACTACACCTTCACCGCGACGCTGCACATCGGTGAGCCCTCAAGCACCCCCACGGCCCCATCGGGGAGGTCTGGGATGGCTCTCACCCTCCCCTCTGTCCCAGCACGCAGAGAGCAGCGGAGGAAGGGGCAGCCGTGCAGGGGGAATCATCTGCGGGTGCTGATTTGCGTGCAGTCCCACTGCCAGCACAACAGGTAGGGCAAGGCAAAGCTGGGAGGGGAGAGGGACCCTGGGCCAGGGAGGGAGGAAGGAGTCCAGCATCCCCAGGGGAAGGAGGGACCCATTCTCCCCACCACCAGCCTCCCTCTTCCGCAGCAATTTGGAGACCGTGTCCCGGCTGGAGAGTGGTGGTGACCTTTTCACCATCTCCGTCACCGGAGTCCTTTACCTGCAGGTTAGTGGTGCCAGCTCTGCTCGGGACTGTGCCAGGCAGAAAGGTGCCTTCCATGGCTGGGCATCAAGTCTGTTTCTCAGCCCAGCTCCAAGCCCAAAGGACACTCAGGGTTGAGATCTGCTGGGACACTACAGCACATACAATGGCTAGGTTGCCCTATTGGCCTCTATGTCATCCCTTTCCCAGAAGGAAGGTGGGTGAACAGTCCCTCCAGCTCTCAGCTGCTGCAACCAGGGAAGAGCTCTCTCCTTTGCTCTGCCAGGCTGTGCCCAGAGGAGGTGTCCCAGCCCCATTAAGCCCTCTCTCCCTCCAGGCTGGGCAGTATGCCTCTGTTTTTGTGGACAACGCTGCAGGCTCTCCCCTCACCGTTCAAAGTGGCTCCGATTTCAGCGCCATTCTGCTGGGGGTGTGAAAAGGTGCTGGGCACCACACAGGGAGCTGAACCTGTTGCCAGGAGCAGCCGGACCCTTCCCTGTGCCAGCAACTGTCACGCCTCCCCTGCTCAGCACCAAGCCCAGGGAAGACCTGCTGCTGCTGCAGGAGCTGCAGGCTGGTCCGATACTGCTTGCACTGCAGAACCATCTGAAGCTGGACAAAAGATTGGGGAGGAAAGGATAATAAATAATAATAATAATAAAGCAGCCTGACAACTAACTAAAGGAGTTCACTTTTATCTAAAGGCTAGGGCTGGAAGTTTATCTTGGAAAATGCTTTCTCTGCGGGGCTCAGCTCCCACTGTGCCAGGCGCTGGTGCCTGGGATGAAGCCCGATACCTCCATTTTCGCTCTCGGCACATTTCCCTACCCAGCTTCTCAGCAGCCTGAAACAGATTATTTGTTTCGCTTTAGCTTTCCTGCAATGTGTTAGCAGTGAATGTTTGCTCGCAGAAGCCAATGTCCTTCGCAGCTAATCTTCAAAGCAGAGCAATGTCCCGATAATGCCGCACATTCGATTAAAGCAAATTCCTGTCCTGTGGCTTTCCACGCCAGGTGTTCCCTGCCCATGGCACAGGGCCCAGGCTGTGGGCAGCACAGATAGGCTCCTTGCTTCAGCTCTGATAGCAGTCTGAGCCGAGGATGGGCACAAGGCTACGTGCCTGAGCGAGGGCTGCAGGAGAGGTACCCAGGCAGGCTGGGCATGGGACAAGGGAGCCACACGTTTTATTTCTTAGTAGCACATAGCACTGGGCAGGCTGTGCCAGCAACACCATGAGATAGCCCAAACTGCACCCAGCCCCACCTTCCCTGAGGGATCTGTGCACATAAGCAGGGGAGAGGCAGTTTCCTCGCGGACCGCTGGTGGCCCCAGAGATGCTCACACCCAATGGGGACAAAGCCGCTGGCTGTGCAGTTTTAATGCTGACTTCTTCCCCAAGGCAAAGAGAACTTGTCTCTGAAAGGAAAGACATGCTTTTCCCCAGCTGAATGGGTGGGCAGCAGCATCCTGGCAGAGATGAGGCCTCTGCAGCTCCTGCCCAGCTGAGGAGCTCGGCCAAGGCAGCACCTCCCAGTTACCATGCGTGACTGTGAGCCAAGGCAGTCTTGCTCAGATCAGCCACCTTCCCTTCCTACCAAATACACCTGAGAAAATACAAAAGAACTCACTGTTGGAGAACAGGGCTTGCCAAGCTGGTAAACTGTCCTCTGTGAGCAAGATATAAACAGCCCAGTGCACCTGAACACAAAATTGAGAGTTGATTAAGTCAGAGATACTGGGGTGCTAATTTAGGTGTTGGGAGGGGGCTAGAAGCTCAGTCAGCCCCAGGGGAGGGGAGCCGCATGTACAGCACTTCTGCATGGGCCACCCCGGGGTGGTGGTCCCAGAGCTCCCCACAGTAGCAGGATGCTGCTGAGCAATGAGGCAGTTCATTTTCAGGAAACCTCTTGCAGACCCCACCCTACCAGGAAATATAAGCAAACAGTTTTTTGACTTCCACTAAAGCTGGGGTTGAACCTGCCTTTCTAACTGGCTGGCTACTCACAAGCATGGTGAAACCTGTTCCACAGTGCTTCCTTTTCCCCTTTGCCCTGAAAAATAGCCAATATGATCCATTTTATGGAAATCATTATTAACTGTATCATAACACTGTGTATCATGTTCCTAGTTGGAGTTCTGCTTTCAGTACTCTTTCTAAAGGGAAGGAAAGAAGAGTTGTAAGAGGAGGGAGGGGGAGAGAAGACAGTCAGAGAAGGACAAGCTGATACTTCTCTCACCAGCTCTTGCACCGGAATTAAGAGGGGCCTCCTGGAGGGAGCACCAGAGGGACGGGTGCTTGGCTCAGCTCTTGCAGCACAGCACACAGCTCTCCTCAGTGCAAGAGCTGTGAAAAGCAGGGAGACGAGAAGGGAGGGCGAGTTGTCCTTCTGAGATCTGCCGTCAGGGTTTCTTGTGACACAGGCTGAATAAACTCCGTGCTACTCTGTCCTGGCTCTCCAAATTTGGCTTTCAAGAGCAGAAGCAGCAGAGCGTGTTGCTAACATGGGCAAATCCCTCTCAGCTCATCCTGCAGTGCAACCTTACATCAGAGTATGCAGGAATGGCTGGGAGCAGAACAAGCTGGCAGAGGCAAGCACAACCCAAAATATGTGCCGGAGGCCCGCTTCCTTCCTCAGTACTCTGCAGGAGATGAAGAGTTAGCACAAGCTAGGCTGAGTTAGCCTAACCATTAGCGTAAGTCCATGAACTTTAACTGACTTCTGCTGTAGCAGAAATAGATGAAAGAGAGTCAAGCCACCTGTCCCAAACAACAGGATAGCTTTTGCGTGCTCAAGAACACAGATAGCCCAGGATCTGGGACCATCTCCCAAAACTCCAGGGAACACAGGGAGCAGAAAAGAGCCCGGGAAGCCTCACAACCCTGTGCAGGACTATTCACAAAACGGCAGGCACCACCTCACCAACCTGCCCAACCTCTCTCTGGGACCGCACCATTTCTCATGCAGAACAAGGAGGTTGTGCAAGAAACCACTGCACAGACCCGCTGGCTCATCTCCTTCACTGCACTGTCTTACCCACAGGATGGGAAAGTTGCGTAATCTGGAATTTAAGTGCTTTGGTAGCCCAATCCGTTTAGCTTTCACACTCATTTGGTCTTAAGCCAAATTTTCTCTGGAAAACAGCACACCGACTGTCTGCAGCAACAGCTGGTAGAGGAATGGGGACACGGATAAGATACCAGACACTTAATAGCAACAAGTACCTAAAACCCGAGATGCCTGCTCCTCAGATAGCATAGACAAGCACAGAGCCTGCTCCTGGCAGGTCCCTTTGGTGAAAACACTTTCCCAATAAACATCAGGAGCAAACTCCAGCCACTCTTGCCGTATCAAAAACCAGGATAAAACCCCAATGTCTTCTGCAAGCAGAGGGAAGGTACACTGCTGCTCTGCAAGTGGTGTTTATATCACTCAGCTGCACACAACCTCACAATCCAGCTTCAGAACCAAAAGATTTCCTTCCCAGCACTAAGAGGACAGCCCATACCACATCCCAAGCCGGTGTCCTGGGGTACTGCACAGTCTGTTTGGTACAGCCCGACCGGGAACTCCCACTGAGTCCTAAGAGCTCAGGACTTTCCCAGGGCCTCATACAAAGCTCAAAGAAACAAACAGCAGAATTTGGAACATTTTGCACCATTTGGAACAGCTGGCAGAGTTCATGCCTACAGATGCCTGCTCTTCCTAGCACCTCTGCCAAATGGATTTATTTGGTTTGCCAAGACATTCACGGGGGGTTGACAGAACAAGAGATTTCCGCATAGGCTGATCCACTGTGGCAGCCACTTAGAAAACACCGCTAGCCAAGTGAGCTAAAACTATTAGAAAAAAAAACACAACAAAACTTTATTTACACTGAAGAGCATCCAGCAGGACCCTCCCTCCCCCAGCCACACATGCACACACACACTGACTTCTCCCTTCCCTTACATCCGCCGCAAGCTGGGGATCCTGCTGCCGCACCTCATCTCTCAGTGCTCTATCCGGACCACCATGACCGTGACATTGTCTGCTGACCCTCGCTGTACTGCCTTGTTGGCCAGTCTGTTACACGCAGCTTCATACCTAGCGTCTGCTTCTAGCTTCCCTTCTCTCGTCTGGATGTTCTTATCCTGTTGGGATGAGGAAAGATGACGCTGATTGCTCCCAGCAAAGCGCATAGGTGCAAGCACATGGTAATTTCCAAGCACGGGGAAGTAAAACAGATGAGGACAACCTCAGGTATAAGGGAGGATACCCTGGCAGAAGTACATTTCTGCAAGTCAGAGTCATTCCATTTTGTGTCCCCTGCACTGACAAACCCAGCCCCCACGCTGCGTTCTCCTCACCTCCAGGCAGGACACAATGAAGTTCACAGCTTCTTCTGGTGTAAAGACTTTAAAGAGGCCATCACATGCTATCAGAATGAACCTGGAAATCAAGCAGAGACAGGTTCCAAGGCTGAATCTTTGGCTCCCCAGCTACAGCAAAATCCCTCCAAGCTGTTTTATGAGTACCCATGCTCCAGTCCAAAGGGAAGATGCCATAAAGCTCATCTGAAAATCCCTCAGAAGCACCAGAAGTCCTCTGGTGCTCCAGAACCTACCATTCACGGAGCTGAGGCAATTCAAAGTACAGGCCAAAAAGACAGGCAAACAATGCAAGACCTAGATCAGGTCATCCTGGCAGTCCTACTGACACTGCACCATTAGGCAAGACCATATACCATGCCCTGCTGGAAAGCTCCATTATTTCTCTAGGAACTGATTCTTTCCTTTTAGTCTTTTTTATTCACATATTTCTCCTGTGAAGTAGCTAATGCAAGGAAATAGAGAAACACAGCCAGCTTAATACCTTATGCACACCCCTTTAAATCCTTTACATTTCCATGCTCCTGAGGTATGCAATAACTTAATTTAAATAGAAATTCAAAAGAAAAGCGAGCAGCTTAACCCAGAAGTAGAGGCATAACTGTGATCGGAAAACTCTGCCACAAGGTATTGCTGCAGGCTGCAGAAGGTTGATGGGGGTACAAAGCCCAAGGCAAGGAGAGCTGCCTCCTAGCTCCCCACCAGAGGATGGGGGAGACAGCCTGCTGTGCACTCCCTGCCTGCACAGGGGATCATATTAACCAGAAGCCCTAACCACAGTCACTGGACAAGGAAAACTACAACGATCCTGCAGAGGTGGCCAGCCTGCCAGAGCAGCACATGTCTCTGAAGACATTGTTTCAGAGCCTGATGCTCAGAATATCTTTAGAAATATTTTAGTCGATCACTTGATATGGAACTCTAATGCCAGAAAAAGCAGCAGTACTGGGTTACACACTCACCTCAGAGAGCCTGCAGGGCATACTGACATGAAAGCTCACAGCAATTTGTCATTGCCAATCATATGTTAGAAAAGTATCTCAAATCTTCAAATATCAGAGCCGAAT